GAGGTGGTTAATGAGAACAGGAGAATTCTGGGAAAGAGGAAGCCCATTCCTCCTCTTCTTGCCCATGCCACCAAAGAAGCAGGATGTTACCTGCCTTGCTGAAAAACATATTGATCCATGTGGCAAACATAGATAAGAATAATGGGTTAACATAAGTTATAAGAGCTAGTAAAAAGCCTGAGCTAATGGGCCAATCAGTTTTATAACTTATGGAGACCTCTGTGTGATTTTCTTTGGGACTTGCTGGCTGTGGGGTACTGGGCAGAACAAAAGCTTCAACAAGCCGGCCCTCATGTTACAATGAATGTTTGTCTTTATTTAGTGTGGTGGTTACGAGTTGCCATGGGCAAAGTTCAGGAAAAAACAAACAAACAAACAAAAGAGATGAGATTCTGGGTCTTGTTTTGAAAAGAAAAAGGAAGAAAGGCTGTACACTACAAAGATTTGTCACTAGTACTGGTTTAATAAAATGATGATTGGCCAGTAGCCAGGCAGGAAGTATAGGTGGGGCAGCCAGACTAAAAGAATTCTGGAAAGACAAATGGCAGAGGAGCAGTTGTTATCCAGAAGCAGGGGAAACAAGATGAGAGTGCTGCACTGAGAAAAATAATCAAACCAAATGACTAAGATCTAAGAATTATGGATTAATTTAAGTTGTAAGAGTTAGTAATAACTATAAAAACATAGATGAATCTTACAGATATTAAACTAAACATAGGGAAAGATACTTTTAGGAGAGCACAATTAACCATTCCCTCTCTTTTATATGATAAAACACAAGCATGAAAATAGTCATTTGGAAAATAAATTATTTTCAGAAGAATTTGGAAATTTGGGTAACTTTAGTGGAGCACGAGGAAATGAAATAAAGGAGAGGCATGTGTCCTCAGTTCATGGGTTTCTACTATGTGTATTCCTCTCTTCCTAAGCCACCCAGAGACACCAGAATGTAGCACTAAACTAGCAAATACTACAAGTAAGTGAAATTTCTAAAGAAGGCAACTTATTCTAGTAAAACAATGTATATAAAGTGGATGGGGTCAAGAAAAAGGAAGGCTATTGTCAAGTAAATAAGTATAAATCCCTATGCCAGATGTTCCAAAATGAAGGAAACTGAAGCAAAACTGCTTTCTACAACTCCATGGGCAGTGAAGATGAGTAAGAATGAGCTCATACATGCACTGATGTCTCTTCTAATTGATGCTGATGCAGGTGTGTGGGAATGAGTTCATGCATGCACCTTCTAATAGATGCTGATATTGCAGCAACAAGACTCATATTTTTCTAGCTAATTCTTATTGTATAAACACACATCTGAATTTTCATGGAACTCTTACATGTAAAAAGGAAATAAAGGTGATTGTTATATTTCATAAATTGAGTTAATTGCATGATAAATGGAAAATAAAAATTATTTTGCTATTATCTTCTCCCTCCTCCTCTTCTTCCTCCATTCCCTTCTCATCTTGAAACAGGAAGGCACTATAGCCTTGCCTGAAACTCATTATGTAATATTCCAAAATGGAGCAGTCCTCCTGTCTCGCTGAGCATCCCCAGTTATGTGATAGGTGTGAGCCATCACATCCATCTTGGGAAAGGAAACTATAATGCTTAAAAATAAAGTATTTATTCAACATATGTAACTACCAATCTCTTACATATTCAACCAGTTTTTGCAATCATCCAAGCAAAATAAAGAAATCAAAACTCCTAAAAATTATTTTTTGTAAAATTATTTTTTTCTTGATATGCCTGACTAACTGGTATATATGGGAGGCCCACAATTTTCTGAAAAGAAAGAGTATATGACTAGCAGGTTAAGAGGGACAGTTGGGGGAACAACTAGGAGGAGAGGAGGGAGGGAGAGAAAACTGTTATCTGTGATTAGGCTCAGAAAATTAATAAATAAAAATATTTTTCTTACAATGGAAAGTACAATGTTTTATCATTTGTATGCGAACATTCCACAGCCTCAATAGCAGTCTGCTGCAGTACACCACTCAGACTGGAGCAAACGTCCCGAGAGACTGATTAATGAATATCACTCTTTACTTACGTTATCTGAAACTCCTGGATGAAGCAAATCCACATCAAAGTTTCCAGACAGACAGACAAATGGTGAAACTGCCGTCCTTCCTTCCCTGCAGCTCATCAGGTGAGACGCAAGTGGAGAGTCTTCACGGTCCTTACCTGTGAATTCTGACCAGAACAGGCCTGAGATAGATCCCTTTTGTTCTTCCTTTAGTTTTTGTTTTTAGACCATGATGGGGAGACCCACAGAAACAGCAGACCTGAGCAAGTGGGAGCTCACTGAGTCTGGACTGACAGCTGTGGAACCTGCACAAGACTGAACTAGACCCTCTGAAGCAGGTGACAGCTGTGGTTTGGACAGTTTGTGGGGGACAGTGGGACCAGTGCTTAATTCCTACTGCATAAACTGGCTCTTTGGAGCCCATTCCCTATGGTGGGACACCTTGATCAGCCTAGATACAGGGTGGAGGGCCTTGGTCCTGCCTCAAGTGATGTGACAGACTTTGTTGACTCCCCATGAGAGGCCTCACCCTCTCTGAGGAGTGGATGGGGGAGGGAGAAGGTAGGAGGAGCAGGAGAGGGAGAGGGAACTAGGAGTAGTATGTAAAATAAGATTGTTTTAAAATAAAAATAATAAAAGAAAGAAGTCCTCTGGTTTCTCTTGTCTCAGAGACATCCTTGCTCCATTTTCTTGTTTTTTTTCTTTTTAAATTTATTTTATTTTTTTAACTGACAAGTTATTATTTTTATTAAAAATTTCCACCTCCTCCCTCCTCCTCTTCCCCTCCCTCTCCAGACCAAAGAGCTGTCAGGGTTCCCTGCCCTGTGGGAAGTGCATGGTCCTCCCTCCTCCATCCAGGTCTAGGAAGGTGAGCATCCAAAAAGTCTAGGCTCCCACAAAGCCATTACATGCAGTACAATCAAAACCCAGTGCCATTGTCCTTGGCTTCTCATCAGCTTTCATTGTCTGCCATGTTCAGAGAGTCCGGTTTTATCCCTTGCTTTTTCTGTCCCAGTCCAGCTGGCCTTGGTGAGCTCCCAATAGATCCTTGCTCCATTTTCTAGGACTGACCCAAAGTCAGTTTAAAAATCAAAACCGTTTAAAAATGATTCAAATTGGTTTTAGTTTCATTTCCACTACCCTTTTAACTGTCAGTCACAACCTCCACAAATTTCTTTTGTTTAGCATTTTTTTCTTAGCAGAAATAACCCAATTATTCCAAGGCAAGCTGACTTTTCTGAAGTGCCAGCCTTCTGAGATAAAAATGACAGAGTTGGAGCACTGCCAATGACCTGCATCCCTAACATCCATATTGCATGTCCTTGGGCAAGATTATTACTAAATTGCTCCACAGGGAACTGAAATACACTTACCAATTTTTGACAAGGGGAGTTGATATTCCAGTTTCATATCAGCCAATCGGGACACAATTAGCAGAAAAGCAGCAAAGTCCTCTGTCACTTGTGTGTTGTATTCAAGCAGGGCCTCACTGAAGTCCTCAGGGAGGTCATCAAGGAACACCTAAATGCCAAAGGTTTTTCAGAGAGCAGAGAATACCTTCCTTAAAAACTGAAAACTTGAAGCATTGAAGGTAAAAGACCACACAGTATAACTTTACTGTTTTCAATAAACCCACTTTTTCTTTTTTTCCTGATTGAAATGAGGTTAAATATTTTTTTTGTTCTTATTTGCACTTGAAAGAGCAAATGCTCTACTCATAACACTTGCTCTGAAGCTCCCTAATCAAAACAGCTCTTGTAAGAGCAGAAGCAAGTCCTCCACTCCCCCTGGACTCATGAATAATTTCAAAGGATCTGGGGACACATTTGTAGAACAAAGAAGATAGAGCATATTTTCAAGCTCAGAATCAACTGAACCTGGTTGAGAGGTTTTGAAACTCTCACTGTCTTCATTGGGCTTACACTGTTGATCAGTTTTTCAACCTGTACACATGAAATCTTTGTATCTCTAATTCTTTTCTAGGTTTCTGTTTGTAAACTACAACATATAAAATATGCCCCCACAAATCATCTTCATTTAAGACTTCTAGACTAGACCTGAAGAACTGTGAAGAAAAGAACTGCACGTTTGTCATCCATGCCATCACTGCTGTATCAGGAAGTTACATGGATATTGCTAAGAAAATCAATGCAAAGCACCAAGAAAAGCAGAAAGAGTGCTATGAATGATCTCATGGAAATAAATGCAACTGTTTTAATTAAATAGACAAATGCCCATTTTCAAAAATGGCCAAGCAAGATGAAAATATTAAAATTGGAAAGCTGTTCTAAGATTTAGACTCCAGAAGTCAAGGGACAGTTTCCAAGACAACTTTGTAATGCTTTTTCAAAGATGACACTGTGACATACAGTCACATCTCCAGACACAATTCAACATTGAGGGTGGCTTGGGGGCTTAAATGTATAATTATCTGCATTTCATGTGCGTGTGAACATGAATATGTGTGTGGGTGCTCTCCACTTTATTTTTTGAAGCAAGGTCTCTCACCATACCTAGAGCTCTCCAATTAAGCTAGCCTGCCCCAGGCAGCTCCAGGGTCCCACATTTCTCTGACTTTTCAGTTCTGGAATGACAAGGCATGTCACAATGTCCATCTCTTCATGTGGGTGCTGGGAATGCACACTCAGATCCTCATGAGTGCATGGCAAGCACTGTATCAAGTCATCTTCCCAACCCCTGTACACCCTTTCATTAATACTGCATTTGAATGGAATCAATTAAAATCATGAATGTACCTCCTTCCTATTTATCCACATGGTATGTAGCATTTGAACACATTCATAGAGAGACTTTGAGTTATTGAAAAAAATCACACTATTTCCAAAAGGAACAAATTAGTATATAAAACACATTAACTACCCCATCTTTATAACAAACCTATTGCTGCTGAATCATTTATGGCAAAATTTATATAGTATTATTAATTTATTTTATCAGAAGATTTTACCTTTGATTGATAAAACTTGATATTAGCATCTTGGAACTTGGCTGGAATATATCTTCTTCCAAAAAGATTTGCCAATATTAAGACCAGCTTTTCCATCACATCTTCAGAAAAACGTTTAGAGCCTGTGAAAAAACAAAAATTCCATTTCATATATTTGAAAAATGGTTACATCAAATTTTTCATTTGTAAAATAAATGCTATGTTTATTTCATAACAACTTTAGAATAACTTCAGCTGCGGATGCTTCTCACTTGAGCTTTTTTGTTTCTGTGTTTACCTTCATTATCATCTTTATCTTTATCTTTCCTACTGCTAGAGCTTGCTTACTTTGACCTAATTTATGATAATATCTGTCTTTGTCAATGTTCTATGGCTGTAAGGAGACACAATGACCGTGGCAACTCTTACAAAGAAAGCATGTAATTGGGGCTTGTTTACAATTTCAGGTGTTTTGTGCATTATCATCACGGCAGGGAGCTTGCTGGCACACAGGCAGACATGGTTCTAGAGAAGCAGCTGAGAGTTCTACATCTTCATCAAGAGGCAGCAAGAAGAAAGTGAGAGCCATTGGGCTCGTTTGAGCTTTCAAAACCCCAAAGTCCACCCCCAATAAACCCCCAGTTCATCCAATTGGGCCACATCTCCACTAAGAAGGCCATATCTGCCCTCAAGTAGTGCCATTTCCAAATGGCCACGCATTCAAACATATGAGCCTGTGGGGGAATATTCCTATTCAAACCACCACAGAGATTTTGCTATTGTAACTGCCAGCTGCCAAGTTAATGAGGAGCTGCAACAGATCCATCTGCAGCATCACCACCTGCTCATCACTGGAATGTCTTTCCCCATACACTTATGGTTACAGGTGAGTGAAATTCCAATAGTTCCTCAGTAATAATTTAAAAGCCTTACCACTGTTATAGTAAAGAGAACTTCACATTGACTTCTAAATTTATTCAAAATTTAATCAAATTATGCAATGTTTCAAATAATTTTCAAAGCAGGAAATGAATTTTAAATACATTCTCTGATATGAATGTTTTTGAACCTTTCTTTTTTGATCACTTATTTTTTTCATTTATTTTACTATATAAATATGCCTGATTTCCTACTGGATTTAAATCAAGCATTAAGCTAAAAAAAAAGATGAAAAGATCAATAGATCAAAATGATAGTATCTCTATCATGGGCTCAACAATCTCTTGTCATTTAAAAGTCCTTCCTTGATAATCAGAAGAAGCTGAGTTGGTAATATGGAAATGGAAAAAGAACCATAATTCTTCTCGCCTCCATTTGGAACATTCTCCTTTCTTCTTTCTTATTCCCTGTGCCAATATATTCCTTATGATTCAATTTACTAGTGATTTTCTGGACTTTGCACGGGCTTTTGAAACCTCAATGCCCACTCCATAGTAACTCACTTCCTGTAAATGACCACATTTCCTAATGCTTTCAGACAGTGCCACTTCCGGCTGACCAAGTATGCAAATCTATGAGTCTATGCAGACTATGTCCACTCAAACCACCACAGTCCACTCCCCCCCCCCCAGGTCTTTAGTCATATTATAACGCAAGATGCATTTTATCTAAGTTCAAAAGTCCCCATACTTGATCACAGTCTCAACACTATTTAAAATTCCAAAGTTCAATGTCCTTTATGAAACTCAAAGCAATCTCTTTACTGTAACTACCTATAAAATCAAACTATAAAAGCAGGTCACATGCTTCCAACGGCTTGCTCCTTTTTTGTTACCTGCTTTAAATTACAATACAAAAGCACAGGATAAACACTATCATTCCAGGAGGGAGGAATGTGAGCATATTGAGAGACTGCTGGATCAAAGCAAGACTGAAAACCAGTTGGGCAAACTCAACATTCTGCATCTCTATGTCTGATGTCAAGACACTCTTCAGATCTCCAACTCAGCTTTTGCCACTGTAACACACTTTTCTCTCTTGGTCTAGTTCCATACCTGGTCTGCAGCTCTCCTTGACAGGCATCCCACAGCTCTGGCATTCCCAATATATCAAAGTCTGTAACACAATCTGGGCTTCACTTTCACAGATCTGTGCAATGGTCTCTCTGAGTCTCCATGCAGGGATGCCAATAACAATGCCTGGCCTCAGTAGCTTCCCTTAGTCACAGAGTGAGATTTCATAACACTTTTCTTGTATTCTTGACTCTAAACCCAGAACTACGTGGCTAAATTTGTCAAGTTCAACTGCTTGCTGGGGCTAGAACTTGGTCTTGTCTTTTAATTACATCTGCGTCAGCTTTCTGCTGTTCATGATTTCTTTCACTGCTTAAGGTTTTCTTTACTCCTTTTTGCAAGTTGGAAGCTTAGACGGGTGGAGTGTTGTTCTAAGATCACCACTTCCTTTATCCCATTTAATATCAGGCTTTTACTTAAACTTTTAATTTCTTGAGTGCAGGATTTAGCTCCATTAGTCTCCCTCGTGTTCCTTTTCTCCTGAAACTGTGTACATTTTGAACTTCTCTTTGTCCAGCTTACTCCTTTTTTTACTGATCTGAGTAAGAATGATTACTAACAATCACAGGACACAGTCAATACTAGGCTGCCTAGAAATCTCTGCAAGGGTCATTAATCCAGAACTCTGATGTGGGAGTGATTTCTTATTAATAAAGAAACTGCCAAGGCCCATTTGATAGGCCAACCCTTAGGTAGGCAGAGAAAACAGAACAGGATGCTGGGAAAAAAAGCTGAGTGAGGAGTTGCCATGATTCTCCCGCTCCAGACAGATGCAGGTTAAGATCCTCCCTGGTAAGCCAGCTCGTGGGCTACATAGAATATTAGAAATGGGTTAGAACAATATGTAGGAGCTAGCCAATAAGAAGCTGGACCTAGCCGGGCAAGGCAGTGTTTTAAAAAGATACAGTTTCCGTGTAATTATTTCTGGGCATAAGCTAGCCATGTGGGCGGCTGGGTGCTGGGGACGCAGCCCTGCCACTCATAATGCAACAGAACTCTTCAATTTAGCATCTGGCATATTTTTGGACAAGAGCAGAAAATTCACAAAACATCACCCAAGTCTCCAGGCCACATACTAATATTTTTCTCCTCTGCAATCTCCATCACTCTCAGTGCTAGTATCTTCTGTGTTCCTACTAGTATGACCCATCAGGCCTTAAGTAAAACCTTTATCTGTTTTCCTAATCCAAAGTCTATCTTCTGTCCACAAGCAGTTTGGCAGGCCTGTCACAGCAATACCAAGCTTCTGGTACCAAATTCTGTCTTGGTTAGTGTTCTATTGTTGCGACAAGACATTATGATCATGATAACTTCTGTTTAAAAAGCATTTATTTGGAGCTTGCTTACAGTTTCAGAGGTTTAGCACATTATCATTGTGAAAGGCACACAAAGAGACATGGTTCTGGAGAAGTAGCTAAGAGTTCTACATCTGAACCCACAGGCGGTGAAGTGGTAGTGGTGGTGGGGGTGACTCTGTACTTGCTATGCTTCTGAAACCTCAAAACTCACCCCAAATGACACATTTCTGTTGTGAGATATTTGTAAAGATATATTTGCTATATTTGGTGTAATAAAAAGCTGAACAGCAATTAGCTAGGCAGAATGTGAGATTTCTGGGGACAAAGGGGTCTCTGATAGGGAGAAAGGTAAAGTCACCAGCCATACATGGAGAAGAAATAGGAGGTATAAGATGGAAGAAAGGTAACACCACATGACAGAATGGGTTAATTTAGGTTGTAAGAGCTAATGGAACAAACCTAAGGTAAGGCCAAGATATTAACTAATAAGTCCCCCCACCTTAAGAGGGCCTAGTTTGGTCCTATGTAGGCAGAATATGGGTGACAATTGTATGACTTTGGCAATTTGGGAGTGGGACCAGGATTTCTCTCTATTGATTGAACAGCCTTTTTGGAGCCCATTCTTTTTGGAGAGATACCTTGCTCAGCCTAGTCATAGGGGGAAGGGCCTTGGTCCTGCTTAAAAGTGATGTGTCAGACTTTGTTGACTCCCCATGGAAAGACTTACCCTCTCTGAGGAAGAAATGGGGGGTGGTAGGAAGTTTGGGGGAATGGGAACTGGGATATGCATGTAAAATAAGAAAAGATTGGCTTAAAATAAATTAAAAAATCTAAAAATATTTATAGACAGTTGCATTAAGCAAAGTGAAAAAAAATTAATAATGTCTCCATGTCATTGTTTGGCACTGCCAGCAGCAAAGAAATTTACACATTTCCTTAAACAAAAAAAAATTACACTATTCCCTGGTGACCATGTATTGAGCCTATGAGGGCCATTCTTACGCTAACCATGATAGCCTCTCTCACCTACTCAATAATATCATATGATTTCTCAATGCTAAAGTATCCAAAACTAAACCCACAGATAACCTTCCTCAACTCAGTTGCAGCCACAGTCCATTTGAGTCACTGCATTCCAAGAGCATGAAAATAATAGGAATGTCTAAAATGTGATAGTAACTTGGGATCTAGCATCAGGCTAGTTACATTTGAGTATTGTCTCTGACTTCTTAGATGGTTAGAAACTTGTCCATTTATTTAACTTCTGGGTGCATCCTTTATAAAGTTATGAATTTTGGCTACCTCTGTCAGCAACAATAAACAAAACCCTACCTTCCCTGAAATGATTTCATATTTTACAAAACTTTCAGAGGAGTCACAAATGATACATTTCTTAGAGGATAAAACTACAGGGCTGCACAAAGCAAAATATTTCCATCAGCTAGTGACAGAAGAGAAAGCAGGAGGTATTGAAGACATCATGCAACAGGAAATATCACAACATTATGCACAAATATTATGAGAGGGCAATATTTATTTCAGAGACACTGTAGGAAGAATTTATTTTGAAAGTTGAGCCCAAAGTTTTTCCATAAAAGCTCTATGGGATTTATTATAACAATTTTGCCCAATATGGGCAAAATTTATATATACAATTGACCTCAGACACATAATCCATAAAATACCACTTATTGATGTATGCTGTACAATTATATTAAAAAAATAGTGTTGTACATAATATTCATAGATAATATTAGTTATTATCTGAGGGTGGAATTTTGAGTTTCATATTTCAACAATGTTTTTCTAAGCTGTTCTTAAAATTGATCATATAATTTAATTACAAGAAAATGTTTGATAAATATTGTATATTACATAGTATACTCAGATTCCTGGTGGCAACACACTTTCCAACTCAAAACTTGCAATAGTAAATATTTTAAAAATATTGTCTCAAAATAGGACATCTATTAGTACTGATTTTAATTTATCTTATTTGCAAACCTATAATTTGCATATATAATTATCATTCTTTTTTTATTTTTATTTAAAATAAAAACAATAAAATTTATATATATACATTGTTACACTTAACTGATACTTTCTCAAGTAATAATTGAATAAATATAGTTCTGAAGTTCTAGTTTTCTACAAATCTATCAGATTTTTTTCCCACCATAGGATGAATTTACACACACATATATATAATTTTACATATATGACATATATCAAATATTATTTGATATATAACTATATACTAATAATGATATATTATTTGTATTCTGTGATTTGATAATATCATTTTGATGTTCAACACACATACACAGGGACAACATAACCCTCAAACTTACCTGCATGAATTGGCTGACAAAGATTATGGAAAAGACCTCTTACAAGAAAACTGACAAAAACAAGATTAGACGGTTCATGGTAATGTAAATGTGATACAAGGCCAGCAAACCCTGTAGGGTTACCTTCTTGATCTACAAGTCCCTAGAGAACAGAAATAATTTGTTAGTTTGGCTCAACTCAAGAAATTAGTAACAAGCAGATTATTCATTATCAGTTTAAAATAGTACATGTGAATCAGACTGTAACTACTAACGAGCTCAACTTTAATAATTACATGAATTACAAGTAGCAGTACTCATTGGGTTTTGTCTTCTAATGTTTACTATAATGCAGGCTAGTTAAAAACAAAAATCTAGGGCTGGAGAGATGGCTCAGCAGTCAGCAGACAACCTGAAGTCAGTTTTCCTGAATCCACACTAAGTGCCTCAACTCAGAGTTATAGAGTGCTATAACTCTAATTTCAGGTACCCTCATGCCTTCTTCTTGTCTCTATGGTCACCTGCACACATGTGACATCTACACACACATACACACAAAGATAGATATAATGTTCTGCGAAGTTGTGCTACCATTCTGGAAATCAGTATGGAAGTTTCTTAGAAAACTGGGAATCAACCTACCTCAGAACTCAGCAATAGCACTCTTGAGCATATGCCCAAAGGATGCTCATACTACGAGGACATTTGTTCAACTGTGTTCATCACAGCATTATTTGTAATAGCCAGAACCTGGAAACAACCCAGATGCCCCTCAACTGATGAATGGATAAAGAAAATGTACATTTATATACACAATGGAGTACTACTCAACGGTAAAAAAAAAAAAAAAAGTCATCTTGAAATTTACATGCAAATAGATGGAACTAGATTAAAAAAAATAAAACATCCTGAGTGAGGTAATCCAATCCCAGAAAGATGAACATATTTACTCACTCATAAGTGTATACTAGCTGTAAAGCAAAGCATAAAAACCATGTAGTCCATGAACATAGAGAAACTATTATAACAAGGTGAACCCCAATGAAAACATATATAAATTCACCTGGCAAGAGGAAATAGACAAGATCGCCTGACAAAATCGGGATCAGGAATCAGGGGAGAAGGGAGAGCAGAAGGGGAAGACAAGGGGAGGAAAACTTGAGGGAACATTATAGTAGAGATGGAGTCAGAACAAAAATGAGAACAAAAAAAAAGAGAGATTTTGATTGAGGGAGTCATTAGAGGCAAAGAAGAAACCTGACACTAAAGAAATTTCCAGGAATCTACAAGGCTGACCCCAGCTAAGACCCTAAGCAATAGAGGAGAGGGTACCCAAACTGACCTTGCTCTGTAGTCAGATTGATGACTATCTTAAATGTTAGCAGAAACTGGTGGAAACAGAGGCAGAGACCTGCAGGGGAGCACTGGGCTGAGATCCCAAAGTCCAGTTGAAGAGTAGGAGGAGGAGAATACAAAGAGGTCAAGACCGTGATGGGTTCCCCCACTGAAACAGTTTACCTGAGATAATAGGGGCTCATCAACTCCAGCTGGACAGGGAAGGAACTTGCATAAGACCAAACTAGTCCCTCGGAATATGGGTAACAGTTGTAGGACTGGGGAAGACTGTGGGGCCACTAGCAGTGGCACCAGGATTTTTACCTACTGCTTTTACTGGTTTTTTAGTAACCCTCTGGATGGATACCTCACTCAGCAGATATATAGTAGGGAGTGCCTTGAACCTTTCCCAAGCAGTGTGTCTTATACTCCCTGAGGAGTGGATGGGGGCTGGAGTTGGGTGGAGGGTGGAGGGAATGGGAGGAGGGGAAGGAGTGGGAATTGGGACTGATATGTGAAATGGAAAAAGATAGTTTATTTTCTTTTTAAAAAAATGAATAATAGGCCGGGCGGTGGTGGTGCACGCCTTTAATCCCAGCACTTGGGAGGCAGAGGCAGGTGGATCTCTGTGAGTTCGAGACCGGCCTGGTCTACAAGAGCTAGTTCCAGGACAGGCTCCAAAACCACAGAGAAACCCTGTTTCGAAAAACAAAAAATAAATATTTTTTAAAAAATTAAAAAATCAAATCTGCTACTTAAAAAATTCTATCTATGTAGTAGGAAATATATTACAGGAAGAGGAGAGAGAGAGAAAGAGATGGGGGGGGGGAGACTGGTTCCTACCTCTTTCACCAGGAACTGCAAAGAATATAAGAAGTAAAGCTTTAACATGTCTTCGACTTGGGGACGTTTGAAGGATAACAACGAGTGCCTCAGCACTGACAGTGCCTGCATAGAAAAGCATTTTGTTTTAGTAACATTAAGTGAAATAATGTGGATTACAAGATCTATACCCCTATAGCAAAGTGAATCATTGTGGGCTCCTCCCCTTTACTACTTTATTCTTTTCCAAAGGCTGTCTCATGTGACTACAGCACACATGCAAAAGGGGTACCCTTAAAAGTGTTCCTTTTGGTGCTCTTGGTCACCCACTGTATAAGATATAAAAAGTACTACAAAAGACAACAATAATATACAAACTTCAATTATATTTAATACAACACAATTTCCTTCATCATATAGCACATCACCTAACATAGCATGTATGTCCTTTAGCACACTAAAGAGCACTGTAGCAGATTTAATGAAAATGGCCTCATAGGATTATGTGTTTGGATGCTTATTCTCTGCTTTGCAGAACAGTTTGAGAAGAATTACCAAGTGTAGGCTTTGGGGCTTCAAAGACCCATGCCATTTCCAGTTAGCTCTCTGTCCCTACATTGTGGTACTGTCTCAAGCTGGGAAGCCTCATCCACTACTCCAGTGTCCTGTCTCCCCTCCTGCTGCCCTGCTTCTGCCATGATGGTCATGGACTCAAAAGTCTTCTGCAGACCCTATAAGTTCTCTTGAGCATGGTCTTATCACATTAGCAGAAAAGTGAATAAGATAAACACAGAAAACCAAACCAGAAAAAAAAAATTGTCTCCAAACAGTCTGAACAGAAAAGACATTATAAGCTTCAGAGCATGCAACATATGAGTTATTTGAGAAGGGGGTTATTTATGCCATTACTGCAAAATTATTAGAAGGAATTTGGCTGAAGCCAAAGGAGTGAAAATGTTCATTCATCCCCAGTTTCAAACAAACACTCTTGTATGTATAGTATTCAACTTTAGTCTAAAATATCTATGAACTCACAATAAAAGCACCCTTTCTTAGCACCACTCAAATGTCAACCTGTCTACCCTTAGGTTGGAGAATTTACAGAATGCAAGAAAAATGTATGCTGTTTTTTAAAAATAACAACAAAGAACAAGAACGAATTATTTTGTTTTTCATTATGTGTATACATGGGGGGGCAGTATATGCAAGAACTCATGGAATCCAGAAGAGGCCATCAGAACTCTTGGAGTTACAGGCTGGTATGAAACACCCAGTATGAGCACTGGGAACTGAACTCAGGTCCTCTGCAACAACCTTACGTGTTCTTAACATCTGAGCCATATTTCTATCTTCTACTGTATTTAAGTCCTATGTGCTTAATGGTAGGACAGGAGGAAGAATAAAAGGGTTGAACTCCTCATTTCCTTTACAGTGGGTGATGAAGTGAGCCAAAAGGTTCCTTTACTGACACCCCTTTTCCTTGCGTACAGGAATCAGAGGAGGCAGCATTTGGAAAAAGCAAAGTGGTGAGGGGATGTGGGGGGAAAGGAACTAATAGTGGTTTACTCTGGTCCTGGAGGTAGAGAGCTTATAACTAAAGGCATACTAGCATGATATGTTAGTGTTTTCACTGCTATGAACTGAGAAGAGCAACTTAAATGAGGAGCAATTTATTTGGGGCACATGATTTTAAAAGTAGTTTTGATCTATAACGTGCCTGGCTCCAATGTACTGAAGCTGCTCACCTCACAGCAAGCCTGCACAAGCAGACTTCCACTTTCCTTCTATTAAGGACCTCAGCATGAAGAAGGCCACCTTCATTTGAGGACATTGCTGTACTGCAGGGTAATTTTTCTCTAGGGAAGGCTCCACAGATATTTCCAGAAATAAAGTAAATATTAGTAGAATATTGTACCTAGTAGAATAGGTCCTGTTGTGGTCTGAATGTGGTCCCTAGACCATGCTGAAATCTAATCTCCATGCTGGCGATCTTATTGAGCGCTGGGACTTAGGGAAGTGATTAGAAGCAGAGGAAGTCTTAAAAGTAGAAGGATCCCATGATGGAATCATCTGTGATTGTACAAGAGGAAGGAACAGGAAAGGTCAGATAGGCCGGGACATTTCCTGTTTACCAAACGATGTCCTGTCATTGGAACACTTCAAGAAAGTCTTTCACTAAATGTCCCCCTGCAGCACTGAACCTCTGTAATCATGAGCCAAAACAAACCTCTCTTCTTGATAGTTAACTCCACCTGTGGTATTCTGCAACGGCCAACAGAAAATGAACACAAGTCCTTCTAACAGTGTGTTGTCACAAAAATAGAAGTTAAATCATCTAATTGTGAGTTTCAAATTCATGGTCTCATACTCCTTTTATCAGACCCTAAAACACCAAGGCAATGTTCTGGGTATGTTTTGATGTCCACATGCTTATACTCTTATAAAGTGTGTGATCATACCTTGAAAAAAAATGTCTCAAAAATAAAAACAAAAATAATAATGTGGCTGGGCAGTGGTGGCACACACCTTTAATCCCAGCACTCGGGAGGCAGAGGCAGGCAGATATCTGTGAGTACAACACCAGCATTGTCTACAAGGGCCAGTCACAGGGTAGACACCAAGAACTACAGAGAAACCCTGTCTCAAAAATCCAAAATAATAATAATAATAAAAATAATAATGTGATCATTTTGGTAGAACTAAGCATGAGTACTTTTTTTTGCTTTGGATTTTTTTGTTTTCCAACTTTCTAAATTTTCTATACATTTATAATTAACTTAGACTTTGTCTTATGAAAAGTAAACTGTTACTTTACATTTATAAAGATAAATTCTTTCTGTGTCTGAATGGTATAAACAGATGATAGCTGGCACTCTCGGTACAAGACAATAGTGTCTATTATGCTAGAAGACAGTGATCATGGGAACACTTCAGTAACCACCCAGTCACAAATTCTGTCTAACAATGAAAACAAGCACAACTTCTCATTGTTTTCCTTAGCGTTCCCCACCCCTCTCTAGAGAACATGGAGAAGCACCCTAAGCCTGATAACAGCACAGCAGAGCACAGGCCAGCCAGACCATTTGTAGAGGCCCAGGCTAGGAGACACAGCACCTTTGCCTTGCCGTCCTCTGGGTCATCTGCCTTGGAGGCCAGCAGCAAGAGTCTCAGAATGAGTGAGATACTGAGAGGAAACTGGCCTCTCAGCTCAGGCACTTTGGATTTTATGAGCTTTTTTATTTTAAATTGTGGAATATCAAAGAAGTAAACATCACCCAACAGGTCTTGCCCTCGTCTTCCAGCCCGACCAGTCATCTGGAAACAGAGCAGAATCATGCTGTGAGAACCATCTGAGTGTTTTTCCTAAAAGAATGTAAAGAGCTAAGCCTTTTTATATTGTTTTGGGGCACATATACTGTGCCTAGGGGTTAGCTAAAATAAATAGCCTTCTATTTGAAATCTAAAAAGTTCATCATATCTGAAGTAGAGCTATTTTAAATAATGTATCTGTCATTCCCATGTATCATTAATCATACTAAGTATTTGTATAATGTTGTACAGAACATTATATAATGTTGTATAAAATCATATATCTAATGCTATGAATATACTATGTGTTGTATAATATATAATTGCCACTTCCTAACATGACTTATGAGATAAAATATTCTATGATTATATATGTTATGTATATAACATTACATCGTACATGCTATAACTTATATTATGACACTATATGATAATGTAATGTTAATATTAATTATACACTTTCTCTATGATTTGAATTTTACTAGATATAGCTACATTTGATGCTGCCAGCAGAAATATTTACCAAACATTTCTGAGAAGGTAACTCTATAAAGACAAACTCTTTTGTCTGCAGAACATAATAGAACAAGAAGAATCAAAAGCAAGGAAAATGCTTTAATATCCAAGATCAAGATTTTGTGGTGAAAGGAAACTGTTTGGGGAACTGAGGAAACCCTGGGTGAAGTGAATGAAGTTCTATATGAATGTACATCACTGACAAATATCATTGACATAGGGATGGGTTTGTCAAGGACCCAGTGCCTCAGACCCATGGGAATGTCAAAATCCCCTTTCTTTCCCCACAGGATTAAAAATCATTCTTCTGATCCACATTTGGATGGTAATATAGTGTATGCAGAAACTGTCCATTGCAGCTTTCTCCTCCCAGATATTTTTTGCCTAAAGACTTCTCCCCTACAGAGACTGCCCCTAAGATTAGCCAACCTGTCTCTTGTTCAACTGTATGCAATAACCCCACTTTTATGTTCCACTTTGTATAAAAAACACACTGAGCTTCCGAGTGATATAGTTTCTCCATTGAGAGTCAAATCTACATGCTTCCAGCTTTTCTGTGTGTGTGTGCATCTGTGCTTTTCTCACTAGCTTGTTAGGTCAGTGAGGTCAGTCTCTGGAGCTGGGCAGAGCATGGCAATACTGCGTCTACAGATTGTGGGAAAACAACCAAATAACACCACAGGAGAGTACAGACATTGGTTTAGAAACAAACTGTGTATCTAGAGTCAAGAAAAGTATTAAAAATGGCTCCAGAAAAGAAACCTATGCTCAGTTGCTCAGTAAATTAGAAAGTAAATGTTTCCCAGGAATCTGTGATGTGGATCTCATTTTTGCAAATTGATTTATTTAGCCTGTGTGCATGACATGAAGTAATGATCACCCATATTCACCAGACAAGAGAGAAGTTTGAATGCCTTATCAAAGATCATACACATGATTAGCAGTGGTCAAATAATCTCATAGTCCTATGCTTACTCAATACCAGACAGGCACCTACAGTGTTCTGCCATGAACTGGAGCATTTACTAAATTAGTAGTTAAAGTAATTTTTTTACAATTTCATGGCTACATAGTATGAATACATTACATTAAGTTAATGTATATTTAGTTACCTGTCTGAAATTTAAAGCATTCAGATAGACTGAGTCTTGAGCAAAAACCACAGATTTACAAGGCATGTTGATTCCTAAAGCGAGTGTTCCCGTAGCTGTCACCACCTACAATGGAACAAAACAGTGATTTCACACACTGGCATTTTGGTTGAATACAAATATTTCTATGAAATTGCTAAAAACTGTACTTAAATCCCAATAAAACTGCAGTGAGTAAACAAAGGGGACGAGACACAAAATGTTTCTTCTTACTTTGCAAACATAGACAACACATTCTCAAATGGAATCTGTTATACCTATTTCTTTACAAGGAATATATACTTTAGTCTTAATTGTGTAGTACAGATGTCACAGGGGAACATAGAGGTCATATCTAAAATAGTTATATTCTCTCATCATCTATCTCTCTGCTCTTTATTCCCTCAATGTACCTCAATATCACTGTTATTTTATATACTCTTAAAATACTAAAATCTAAGAATCATTCACTGTTGTATATCAAGAGCCAAGTAACACATCTGGCATGGAGTAAGTATTACAGTAGACATAATACGTAAAACATTAGGACACGAATTTCTCTGTAAGAGGGTAGTAAATTTTTTTACAAGCCTATTTCCTAGTTACTATTTGATTTACTAAAGTTCATTAAGAAATGACATAAGAACAAAGTACATTTTCTCTTCCTGTCGTGAATTTGCATGATCACTAATCAGAAACAGAAAAGAATGTAAAGTTATTTACATAATCTAACTTCTAGTTCATGTTTTTTTTTTTTTTTTCTGATGTAGTTAGTATATATTGACTTGTCCTGTCTTGTTGCGGAATTGTCTTTCATACTCCGGGAAGATGTGTCCTTGCCAAAGAACCATCTGATTGGTTTAATAAAGAGCTGAATGGCCAATAAATATTTAGAAAGGAATTCTAGGGACAGAGAAGATGCTGCGAAAAAGAAAAGAGAAGTTTCCAGCCAGATAAGAGAAAACTGGAGGTGTAAGATAGAAGCAAGGTAACACCATGCGGCAGAACATAGATTAATATAAATGGGTTAATTTAAGTTATAAGAGCTCATTGGGACAACCCTAGTCTGTAGGCTGAGCTTTCATAATTACTAATACATCTCTGTATCATTTTTCTTGTAAGCTGACAGCCTGAAGAAAAGTCCCTCTTCACTGACTCTTTAGATCAATGCTGCTTGTGCTTCTGATTTGTGATGATGTTTTAGGATGGGAAGTAATGTTTTCTAATTGTTTTGTAAATGAGGCTTATACCTCTGTCAAAATGAAAAATGCTACTTACTAAATTATATTAAACTATGTTTTATTCATATCTTTTTTACAAGCACAAACATTGAGAGTGTAGGAGCTTTACATTTAGAAAAAGAAAAGAACAAATACCTTCCTTAAATGTCTTCTCTGATGAAGTCATTACTATAGCTATTCTATATCAGCTGAGTCACTTTATTAGTGACTAAGACATTGCTGTCAGATACTATTTTAACCATATCTCTTTCCCTTTTTTCTTTCTCTTCATTCTATCCACTCTTTCTTTTTACCTATGCCTTACAACATGTAAGGTTGATAACTTTTAGTAGTCAGAGTCAGTTTTTAAATATTGCTCAAGAGTCATATTTACTTGGCAACAATCTAAGGGTCCTCTGTATACTTGCCTGGATTATTGCAATGCGCCCAACCAGGATGTACTAAAGAAAACACAGTAAGAATGTGCCCTGAAAGTCATTTATGACAATCTTCTTCTTGTCCCCATCAGTTTAACAGTAGAAATGACATTCAGTACAACATATTTACAAGCTTTGTTGAGATAAATTGAAGCCCCAAGGAAGCAGATGTCTGTGCTATGATTTCAGCTGCCACATTAGAAAAAGTTCTTCACCAAACTAAAATATAAATACTCTCTAAATTCTTGTAGAGAATGTTGGTAGCAAAGCCACACCAACAAACCCTACATATAAAAACATGAGATATCATCTTACACCTGTCAGAATGGCTAAAATCAAAAACACCAATGATATCCTTTGCTGGAGAGGTTGTGGAGAAAGGGGTACCCTCATCCATTGCTGGTGGGAATTCAAACTTGTGCAACCACTTTGGAAAGCAGTGTGGCGGTTTCTCAGGAAATTCNAAAAAAAAAAAAAAAAAACAAAAACAAAAAAACAAACAAAAAAAACTTAAGATAAAAACATAAGAGTAAGCTATGCACCGAGGTCAGCATAGAGATGCTTTGTTTTTGTGGGCAAATGTATGCAGTAAGTGGACCAGTCAAACCTCCTCCCCCAGTTAAATGACATAAACCATATGCAAAGGTACCACAGCCAGTAAACAAAGTCTACAGCCCAAATAACATAAGTATATGAGGGGGGAAACAGTAAGGAGTGGCTATATTTCTTCATTTCATGAACATTCTGCTTCATCTACTTACATTTTCAAATTTTACATAGAAAAATTGACCCACCCTAATGAATCCTTTCCTAAAAAGAATTTCCACTAACTGCTTTTCTTTGGCGCTCATAGAGCTGTGATGAAAGCCAATGCCCCTTCTTGCCAATTGCTTCAGTGTGTCACCTTTTCTTTGGTTGTTCACCCGACTAAACACCATCTGCAATGACTGCAAAACAAGAGATTTAAAGTATTATTTATCTAATGCTCATTCAAATATGTCCAGTGAAAATAATATACGTATTACATAATAATTTGGCCAAATGATATGATCATTTGGCCTTTGCTCTACATCTACGCATTATCAATCATCATCAACAACAACAAAAACAATAACAAAAGAATGTTTTATGGAATCAAATAATCACTACAAGAAAAATTTTCACAGTTCTCCCCAGAAAATAAAGCAAAACCTTTATACTATAAGGTTAAGAAATGCCTTTATCTACATTGCATCCATTTCGATGTGTGATATATACCACTACATGGTAGAATGCAAGTGCCCTCGCCTTCCTACGTTCAGAAATGTCTTGTTTGTGTAGTTAAGATACAAATGTAAAGTTAGTGTACATGATCTAGTGATTGCAAAAGATGGGTGCATTCAAGGGTCCTAGAGAATACAGAGTGATTACCTAAGGGTCTCCAAGTAGGAAGGAGGAAATCCAGTTGTGCCCAGTGCTATAATATATAAAAATATATCAACACTTGGAGAGAAGAGAAAAGTTTAAGTCTACAAACATAAAAGGATATTTCCTAGATATTTTTATTGTACAGTTATCTATAAGATAGAATGTCAAGGACCAATTAAAATAATGATGTACATACTAGACAGATTATGAAGCTGACAAAAGAAGATTCATGACACAATGAAAATACACAAATGTGTAAGTGAATGTGTGTGGGGTGTGTGATGATATTGCTTTTATTGAAACTGGTTGCGTTGTTACATATATTGACTATAAACAGTAATAGATGGAGGAACAAAAAGTTTAAAGATGATGGGCTAAACCAATTTTAGATAGATATTCCAATGACTTTGGTGAATTCTTTTAGCTCTAATAAAGAAAGACCCTAATTTTAAGAATGCTGTCAAAATTTAAATATATTAGTCTGTATTGATTCAACTGACTATAATTCTGACTATAATATATACAGACTTCTTTAGAAGACACCATGCAAAAACTTGGGTAATTTGTCAACAAGAAAAAAATCAGTCTACAAATTCTAATCCTATCCTAAAGGTAGATTGGAAGGCCCTTGAATGTTGTGTGCAGCAAAAGTTTCTGTCTGTTATATGTCTAGCTCCTAGAGACTTCCCTTATGGTAGCAATTGCTTGCAGTATGGCCAACACTGTCTACATAGAAGAAGCCTACACTCTGGGAGCACTGGTCCCTTCTGAGTGCTGACCTCATCATCTATTGCTTTCTGATCAGCATACGTGCAATCCTGAGGAATCTCCAGATTCTTCTCCAGACGCTCCAGGAGATAATCATGTTCACCTTCATTCATGATGCTTTTATCCAATCTTCTAGAAGGCTTTTCATTATTTTCATCTCTTTCAAGAATAATATTACAAGAAATAAGTATTTGTATCCAATCTTTACAGGAATCCCAGAATCACTGCTTCATACATTTATATTATCATAACTCAGTTCTCTCCCTCTAATGTGTCTGCTCATCATTCCCTGGGGTCTAGGATTCCTCAAGATAAAGCTATTATGAATGTGACTTTTTTCTGTATTGTTCTCCATTGTTTCCCATTCTACAGATGACCTTGCTTCTCCTTGCTAATATAATGCTCATTTTCTCTCCTTCAAATGTTCTCATACTCGGGTTAGAGGTATGTGTTCTCCTCTTTCTGCTTTGCCAAATAAAGATATCCCCCCCTTCTTCCTTTTGGTGGACACTGCAAGCAGGGACCATGTTCCCTTTGCTTTCCTCCTGCTCTTTCTCGTGAGTCCCTCATGTGTACACTCCTCTTCACTAAGGCATGTACACACATGGGCAGTCCTTCTCAGCATGTGCTACATAAACCTGGCTGAGACCCGTAGGTAATCATTCTGTATGCTCCAGGACCCCTGAATGCACCAGCTTTTACAATCACTAGGTTATGTATGCTTTCCTCACATTTGTATCTTAATGATGCAAATAAAATATTTCTGAACATAGGAAGATAGTCCACTTGCATTCTACCATGTAGTATATATCACACTTCCAGAATACATCACCTATAATTAGCTTGAACTTTAATAAGAAGGTAAATGTCATTATGCCTAGACCTGTGTTTTCAAAATATGTGCTAATACACTTACAGCAGAACAAAGATTGTTGAGCAACTCAGTTTTTTAAACTATTAAATAAGGCATTGTTAATAAATAAAAACTGCTAAGGAAAACAGAAAAAAATGTTTTTCAAAGTCAATAAACATGACCCAAGTAAGCTCATGATGTATGTGTTACTTTAGGGTTCTCACATTATAGAAATGGATGTAAACAGAGAAGGTTCGGAGCTTGCCCTGTGATGCATAAGGCATAATGCAAGGTCCTCATCTTCCTTATGATAATGTGCTGAAGATATTAAAACAACTTTCATTTGACAATTTGAGTTGCTGGTCACTAACCAACCTAGACTACATGACTCCTGAACTCTGAAGCATATTTATCCTAAGGAGGATCATTTACCAAGAAATCTTAAACTTCCTCCCTACATCCTCCTTGGAGTTCACTACTGTCATACATACTTTCCAGAAAAAAGCAAACCATGCAGAGACATCATTGTACATGACAAGAGCAAACAATAGTTTGCTCTCGAATTTATAATGTTTGAATCAACAATGCTCTAAAAGCTTGTTTCAACCTCAAAGTGAGTCATAGATCTTCGCTTAAAAAAAGCTCTAGACCTCCCTAAGGACTAGCTTTCACAGTCTTTGAAGGGACCATGCAAGTTGCCAAGGGAACAAAACAATGGAAATTCTTACTCAGCTGTAAGGCTGCAAACTACAACAGTAGCATTAATATATTCTCAGTGGTGCAACAGAGGTACTTGTATCTCCAGAGAAACTACTAATGACTAACTGGAGTTAAGGTGTCACTCCATAGTGGGATATTCATGCCTGGTACAATAAACCAAAATAACTACATGTTGCTGATGACATGATGGACCATGAAGGAAAACTTACTACTACCATATCCATTAACCAGTATAACCACCAATAGCATTCTAAGTACATATTCTTACATACAGAGAAGCTGATTTCACAAAATCTTATCCATGTGGTCACTCAAACAAGACATGAACAATGACAATACTACTTGATAGCAAACATGAATTTGGTAAATCTCACAAGGACCCAACTCTAGATGAAGAGCTATAGACAATTAATTGCCTGGCAAAGAGGCAGTAACGGTCTTCTCGCATTACTAGCCTCCTCATAGCTTCTTCAAGTGATCATCACTAAACATGTAATCATATAAGTACACTAAATGGAATCCACAGGATATATTTGGGTGTGTGTATTATGTGTGGGTGAGCATTCTTCTTACAAAAGAAGAAAATATGATTTTGAGAGGCAAGGGATGAGAGAGAAGCTGGAGGGCAAGAATATGGAGAGGAATGAGATATATACAATACACATAAATAAAATTCTCAATAATAATAATATAAATGCTTTGTATAAATAGTTTTAAAGTAAACATTTCTGGAACATTTTTCATCTGCCAGTTAAGGGAGCTGCAAAGAGAAAATGTATGCCTCCTGTTATAAAGAAGCTTAGGATTTAGGGAAACTAGTAAAGGTTTATATCCCTTATACAAAGAGCTTGAGAACTGAATTTTAGTTTTTGGAACTTGACATGTTGGCCAATAAATAGCAGCATAACTTGAAATTGGACCCAAGTCTAAATAAGAAAATTTATTCAGACTTTATCTATATCTCCTATATATAGCCTAAAGGCAATTTTATACATATTTTAAATAAATTTAAACATAAAACAAACTTTTATCATATAACAATTTCCCCATACACTGTTTGGGATTTTATATTTTTCAGATAAGGAATGGTCATTGTATATGCTTTTAAAATAGAGAATAATCTATCTTCTGTTAAACAAAATAGTACATAAAATAGTATAGGTTCAAGTTCAAGAATAAGTACAAGATTCAAAGCACAGATAACAAATTTATGAAAGACATGATGCAAACATTAACAGAAAATATACTGAAGAGACAGGTATTTGTGCCCATGGAAAGAAAGAGATATAAGAATAAATGAAGTGAGATATATGAATAAATGAAGTGAGCCGGGCAGTGGTGGCGCACGCCTTTAATCCCAGCACTCGGGAGGCAGAGGCAGGTGGATCTCTGTGAGTTCGAGACCAGCCTGGTCTACAGAGCTAGTTCCAGGACAGGCTCCAAAAACCACAGAGAAACCCTGTCTCGNAAAAAAAAAAAAAAAAAAAAAAAAAAAAAAAAAAAAAAAAAAAGAATAAATGAAGTGAACGGAACCATAATATCCTAAAAGGGAAGTGGCAGGAGACACATATAAAATAGTAAAAACATAAGCAAAAAATGTCAAATATGCAACACAAAAGTTAGACACCATCAGATAGAAAACAGGAAAAAGAATACCAAACATGGGGTAATTTAACCAATTTAAAGTTTATTAAGCACAAGTAATTACTTTGGAGAGTAGTGAATCTAGAGAATCTTAAGCCCATAAAGACTTCTGTGATTATAAGGGGAAATAAAACTCACTCTACGGCTCACACAGTGGTAATGTGCCATGAGTCAAGACAGAGTTACAAGGACAACGTGGGATGATCATATCAAGTTCTAGAATACACACATACTGATAGAATGTAGAACCCCTTTGAACAAACATAAACTGATCTATGCAAGTAAGGAATATGTGATGCAAGTCACCTATCTTCAAACAATTATCCCTCTGAAATTCCAAAACAGAAACTATCTAAGCAGTATTAGACCTTCACTATAGAACAGTTTCAATGCATGTTCCAACTAGGACATTTGGGTTTTACAAATCCTTATGTGGCAATTTATTTAGTGAAATACTTACCCTATCTTTTGTTGTTTCTCCAAAGATTTTTTAAGTTTTCGAAGTCTGTTAGCGATGACATGAGCTTCCTTATCAGCTTTGGGATGCCTTTTCTTTTCCTCTTTCTCCTCTAGGAAATTGCAAGCCTCCTCAGCACATCCTTCTACAAAACTTAATCTAAATCTGGAAGCAAACAAATATGTATTTAAAGATATATTATTGTAAGATTTAGTTTCTCCATCTTTTCTGGTTGTGTGTTACATTTCTCATGGCTATGAACAATGGCTGAGAAGTAGTAGTTATGGAAGAGTTTAAAAGGTTTCACAGTTTGAAAGGACACAGCTACTTATACTGGAATAAGGGTGACAAAATTAAGAGGTGGTTAATCACATTCTATCTGTAGGCAGGAAGCAGAATACAAACAGAAAGCAAGATAGCTCCGAAACTTCAAGGCTTGACCCCAGTGGTCCTGTTTGGTGGTTTGACTTGAGAATGGTCCCAATAGCCTCATGTATTTGAATACAAAGTCTGTAGTTGGGAAGGATTAGAAGGTCTAACCTTGTTGCAGGAGGTGTTCAACTGGGATCAGGCTTTGAAGTATCAAAAGTCCATGCTATTCCCAGTTAGCTATTTCGCTCTGAACCTTCCTTTTAATGATATAATCTCTAATGATATAATCTCCAAAAATCATTTGAAACAACAATTATATCAAACATTATCTCAACTCTGTCATTTCTGTACCACAGATGAGAAAATGGAAATACAGATTAAGGGGTCTACCCATGAGTATACATAGCATGTATATAACAGAGTGTGTCTTCTTATCCATGTTTCTGACAGTGTTATTGTTGTATTATTTTTATGTCATATAGGTTCCAGTCATTTCCATCATAGTGTATCTCTTTACAAAAATCTATATTACATGAAAATAACTGATATAGAACTACATATAACAAAAATGACCTAGTAATTTCACATCAGCGATTAATATTTTGTACCACTGAACTACACATTCATGACTTTTTGATTTTAGTTTCACCAAGATTGTCAGTATGGTTGCAATCATGGAATAGTTTGTCAATCAATGATATGGCTAAAGGGGAAAAAATAAAATTTATGCTGAGGCCTGCCCTTGAAATGTATGTCTTTAATCACGTATCAACATTTATAACCTTGAAACATGTTCCACCCTCTTTTTTCCAGATATCAGGGACAGAATGTTGGGGCTATCACTATATGATAAGCCACTAAAGACTAACTATCACACTACATGTAAGAAAGGATTTTCATAGTTTGTCTTATAAATAAATAATCCTTTACTTCCTTAAAAGGTATGAATATAGAACTCCACATGTACAGTTTTACCTGTCATATTTTGATACCTTATGAATATTAGTATTCTTGTGATTTTCTCTAGAACCTCATTGCTTCCCAAAGTCCTTCCCGCCAAATGTTATTGAATGCCTTCCTGAAGTCAATGCAACCAATATATGTCTTTTCTAAATTCTTCATATCTCTCTGTCAGTTTCCTCAAAGTGAAGATCTGATCTATTGTGCTCCTATTAGCTCTGAATGTGCCTTGAGTCTCTGCTAGGACTTCCTCTCTGTTCTGCCCTTGATCCTTTGCAAGAAAATGGAGGAGGATAAGCTCTTGCTGCTGTGGCATGACAAACTAATGCTCCTGTAATTTGAGCAGTCCAGATTGTCCTTCTTCTTGTATATGTGAATTGTGACTCAGTGCTTCCATTATGTGGGAATCACTTCATGTTCCCATATCTCTCTGAAAAGTCTGAGAAGTGCCTCAGCCCGCAAGCCCATTGTAGCCACCGCCAACTCCTCTACTGTGTTGCCATCCACTTCTGGGCCCTTTCTGCATTTTGCTCTCTTAATAACTTCTTCTATTTCACTCCTGTCAATATTTAATATTTCCTCATCAAATCTGGTATTTAAGTGGCTGTCAAAATTTTTCTCATTGTGATCTACATTGACAGCTTTAGAATGTCAAAGTGTAGTCTCCATCTTTGTTTTATTTCCCCTGATTCTATTAATAGATGACCTTGTTGCCGGGCGGTGGTGGTGCATGCCTTTAATCCCAGCACTCAGGAGACAGAGGCAGGCAGATCTCTGTGAGTTCAAGACCAGCCTGGTCTACAAGAGCTAGTTCCAGGACAGGAACCAAAAGCTATGGAGAAACCCTGTCTCGAAAAAAAAAAAAAAAATAGATGACCTTGTCCATCTTTAATCACTTGAATCTGAGGAGCATATCTGCAAGTTATCTGTCTGTCAAGATGTGTTTATTATGTAGTCTAGCCACTTCGACATCTTTGCATATACCTTCTATATGTATACATGCATATATATGTATGTATACAGGTCTCTGTTTTCTTCGCTCTTCTTTTGACTTCCATGCACAGATCATCTATCTCTGCAGTAAGTCATTCTACTGGTGTTGCCCTTTTTGCATGATCCATCATCTACTTAGAAGCCTCCTGTATAGCTCTTTTGATGTTCTCCCATTTGTTTTCTACATTTGTAAAGGGGTGTTTAATGATTTTCCTCATCTTTTTTTTTTTTNTGTTTTTTTTTTTTTTTTTTTTTTTTTTTTTTTTTTTTTTTTTTTTTTTTTTTTTTTTTTTTTTTTTTTTTTTTTTTTGAGCAGTTCTCTTATACTCTCTCCATACAGCGGAGTTCATCAGTTGTATACAATTAATCTTCCTGTTTGTCTTGCCTGGCTTCCTTCTCTTAAGTTTCACTTGAATGTTGACCATAACAAGTTGGTTATCTGACCTAAAGTCAGCACTAGGAAATGACTGGCTGTTTTGGATGCTGGATAAAAGTTTCTTGCTGTCCAGAATGTCATCAAATTGGCTGTGTGTGCATTTGTTAGGGGATTCCCACATTGAGCATCTTGATGGTTTGGACTGATTGAATTTTGTGTTGGGTATATACAAATCATTTGCACAGCAGAGCTCAAGCAGTCATTCCCCTCTATCATTTCTATGTCCAATACACATGTTCCCGTGACACTATAGTTCATCCTTTCTCCAGATCCCACTCTTGCATTGAGGTCATCTATAACAATTAGTATGTCATTCTAATGTGCCCTGCTGACCTCATTCTGTAGATCTGTGTGGAAAATGTTGACTGGAAAGTGACTATAAAGACACCTTTTCAACAGTTAAAGTCTATGGAGAACTAAGTGATCAGTTTAAGACAATCATAGGAGTGTTGCAGGCATGCGTATTCTCACCAGTACTCTTCAATACATTTCTGGAATTACTAATAGCAACAGCACTGGAAGATGAAGAGATAAGTGTGCAAACAGGTGGTGTGTGAATCAATAACTTGCATTTTGCCAACAATACATCACTACTTGCTGAAAGTCCAAATGAGTTGCAGGCCATGCTAATTAGAGTGGTAAAAGTAAGTGAAAACCTTACAATGAAAATAAACATTGAGAAGCCTGAGATACAACACATGGGAAGAGAGTGCAAGAATTTTAGCATTGTAATAAAGAATCAGAACCTCAAGCAGTAAAATTTGTCTATCTGGGAGGAAATCTCAGTTCAGGGAAAGGAACTATTTCAGATGTCATGAGGCAGATAGGGACAGCAAGGACTGCATTCCAGGTTCTAGGAAAGGTTTGGTCAGCAAGAAACATAACAACAAAACTACAAGTATATGAAACACTTGTCTTGAGCTGCCTTGCTTAAAACCCCAAAATCTGGACAATAAAATACTCCTCAAAACAGCGACTGGATGTATTTGAGTTGGCATGTCTCAGGAAAATTCTAGGTGTCACACAAAGAGATAGCCTGTGAATGATGATATTAAGAAACATCTCCATCTACAAAAAGAAGTAAACTACAAGATGATGGTGCAAGGGATAAGTCAAAGATGACAGCCCCAAAAATGCTTGATAGACAACATAAAGGAAGACTGTGGAACCTTGGGTATGACAATAACACAAGTATCTAAGACTGCTCAGGATAGAAGCAACTGGAAAACCACCATAAACACAGCGCCCGTGTATGCTTAAGCATTGCTGGGATATAAATGATGATGACGACGATGATGATGAATGCACAATTCAGAAGATGCCACCCTTATACCTGTGGGCGCATATTCTGATATGCCACAAAAGCCATTGCCCCGGTTTGAGCTGATACATAGCTCTGCAGACAAGCTGTCTGCCCTTAACAAAAGCCAGGATGCCTTGCTCCTAGCTTCCTTTGTTAAAGTGTGGATTACCTGAGAAGAGGTGTTGACTG